AGACAGAATAACAGGAAAACACCCAGAAACCCAGAAGACGAAAGTCAGCAATTGATGTGCATTATAATGAGTGAAATAAGTATTTGATACCTTTGCAAAAGACGACTTAGTACTTGGTGGCAAAACCCTTGTTGGCAGTTACAGAGGTCAGACGTTTCTTGTAGGTGGCCACCAGGTTTTGCACACATCTCAGGAGGTATTTTGTCCCACTCCTCTTTGCAGATCCTCTCCAAGTCAGTAAGATTTCGAGGCTGATGTGTAGCTACTCGAACCTTCAGCTCCCTCCACAGATTTTCAATGGGATTAAGGTCTGGAGACTGGCTAGGCCACTCCAGGACCTTAATGTGCTTCTTCTTGAGCCACTCCTTTGTTGCCTTGGCCGTGTGTCTTGGGTCATTGTCATGCTGGAATACCCATCCTTGACCCATTTTCAATGCTCTGGCTGAAGAAAGGAGGTGCTCACCCAAGATTTGACGATGCATGGTCTGCTCCATTGTCCCTTTGATGTGGTGAAGGTGTCCTGTCCCCTTAGCAGAAAAACACCCCCAAAGCATATGTCCCCTTCCATGTTTGATGGTGGGGATGGTGTTCTTGGGGTCGTAGGCAGCATTCCTCCTCCTCCAAACCCAGCGAGTTGAGTTGATGCCAAAGAGCTTGATTTTGGTCTCATCTGACCACAACACTTTCACGCTGGGTCATTCAGATGTGCATTGGCAAACTGCAGACGGGCCTGTACATGTGTTGTCTTGAGCAAGGGGACTTTGCGAGCTCTGCAATATTTCAGTCCTTCACGGCATGGTGTGTAACCAACTGTTTTCATTGTGACTATGGTCCCAGCTGCCCTGAGATCATTGACAAGTCCCCCCCCCCATATAGTTCTGGTACTGTAACGAGCTAGGATTACAGGTAAAACCTCTACCTTACAGCAGGTGCTTCTAATCTCAGCTCGTTACATACAGTGAAGATACCAGGTAGCCTGACATCTAACTAGGGATCAAATAGGGGATCAAATATTATTTCACTCATTATAATGCACATCAATCTCTGACTTTTGGAAAGGGCAAAGGAAAGGTCTAGGCTGAGGTGAGGCACAGGAAGGCAGAGGACTATGGCTACGGAACATTCCAGAACAATAAACCATGGGTTCCCAGTGATTTTAAACCAGTGGTCACATTTTTAAATTTGAGAAAGTGCTGTGGGTGCCAGTCACAAAATAGCTGTCATGGGTGGCCTGGCATAGCACAAACCTCCCATGGAAACCTTATGGTTGCTGTGAGGTCACCTGTGTCCTACTCAGTGTTTTTTTAAAGAAGAAAAGGTGCCGGTACTCACCAAGAAGTTGTCACAGTAAATGCAACTTTTAACATTTAACACTGCATACCCATGCATCTCTCTCTCACACACGAATCCCTCCCCCTTCCTCCCTCACATTCATCACATACATCTCACACACAGAGACCATATGTATATATAAGCCTCCCCCTTCCTCCTCCCCCCTCTCTCTTTTACCCCATTCCTGTGGCCTTCCCTGCCCCTGCAGTATGCAGTCAACGAGAAGCAATGCTAGTTTTAAAATGATACACAGATGCTTCCGGTCTCCTCACAGGCATGCTGGTGGAAGAATAGAGAGCGGGAATGAATGAGCATGAGGTTTGCCCAAGTTAATTCCTGTAATAGTAAATTATGATTTAGCATTATGTCCAAAGCGAGCTGGAAATACATAGCTTACTTTTCATAGGTCACTCAAGGAGTTATGGAGCAGGTTGCTGGACCCCAAGCCTAATGGAAATGGGATTTCTTCTCACTTCATAATAGCTAGAGCTGCCATACGTCCTGGACATTACTGGGGGTTGGCTAACAAAGGAAAGACAAGTGGAAATAAAATTATAGAACAAGGTAAGAAAACCACAGACCCAGATCAAATAAAGGTCAAATTCAGAAATTTCTATAAAAAATTATACGAATTGGAACACAAAGCAGAGAATAAAATTAGAGATTATGTCAGAGGAAATAAATTTCCGGAAATTGAAAGCAGTGAATATATTTATTTAAATTTGGATATAGAGACTGAAGAGATTATAGAGGTGATAAGGAACAGTACTGAAGTGTACTGAGGTTCTGGATTTGGATGGCTGGGACAAAGTCATTGGGTGGCATGGCTACCTAGGACATGACAAAACAAAAGCACATAGAGGCTTCACTAACCATTTGGTGAGAAAGGCCTTATTTGAAGTTTGGGAAAGGAACAAAGCAGTAGTAACAACTAAAACTCCCTGATGGCTATCGCCTATAGAACCATCAGCTAGTCAAAGAAATAACATGAAAGATAATTGACTAGCATATAGGGAACTTGTAGAGGAGATAAATTATTGGCCGAAAGTGAAAAAAATTGAAGAACTAAAACAGAGTGGGGTTAATTGGCTAGAATTCTACCAGCTAACAGCAATGTTCAAAAAGGATAAAAAATCAAAGGGTTTTGATAAAAAAAAAATCGGCATGGGAAAAGGAAATATTATACAATAATCAAAAGACTATCTCAAAAATCTACAAATTGCTATAGAATGGACAATCAGAAAAAGAAGAAAAGGGAAATGCCATTAAAAAGTAGGAACAAGATCTAGGCCATACAATAGAATACAAAGAGTAGAAAAAATATGGACAAAAACCATAAATTTCACAGCATGTTTTTTAATAAGAAAGAATTATATGAAAATGTACAGTGGTACCTCAGGTTAAGAACTTAATTCGTTCTGGATGTCCGTTCTTAACCTGAAACTGTTCTTAACCTGAGGTACCACTTTAGCTAATAGGGCCTCTTGCTGCCGCTGCACCACCGCCGCAAAATTTCTGTTTTCATCCTGAAGCAAAGTTCTTAACCCGAAATACTATTAGCGGAGTCTGTAACCTGAAACGTCTGTAACCTTTTCTTTTTTCATTTTCATTCTTAGTTTTGTGTTTTAATCTGTAAGATTTGGAATTGTTTCTTTCTTGTTTTGGCGTATTGTTATATTTTGTTGTTAATATTAATAAATATTTAAAAAGAATAAAAAAGAATGCAAGGGTGTTACAATCTGATCCAAAAGGTGTTGTGAGTGAGAAGCTATCTGAACAGCTGAAAATTAGCTTATTCGGTGAAAAAACCCTGAAATGACATACCAATGTCAAAAAAAGGTCACTAACTAGAAGCATCATGATTAGAGAGCACCGTAGCAGTATTAGGCAGTGAAGAGATAATGAAAGACACGGAAGATTATAATAATACAAAGAAGAGAAATGGTAAGTAGTTTATAATGAAAAGAGAACTATATAGATTGAAGCAGAGAGAGAAAATAGGAAGCATAGACTGGAACAGGAATGTATCATTTATTCCAGCACAAAATTTGGAGAGCAACACAGAAAAATAATGAGTTTGGCTTGCTATTCTGTTTCAAGCAAACTGGATGTTTAATTCTTTTTTTTATATATTATCTTTTACTGAAAGCTGTGCAAACACAAATAGATTTTAGTTTCATCAGCAAGCCCATGCATAAGTTAAGTGGACTGCAAACGGCTTTACTTAATTCTTAAGTTTCTGAAATTTGAAACGTGATTTTTGGTCAAGCATGAAAAGGTCTCACCTGTAAATCTCTCTAATTTGTGAAAGTATTGCTGGAATGCGGAACCCTGCATATGCTGCACACACAGTCTTGAAATATGAAAGTCATCAGCAGGCTTCAGAAATGCAAAGACAAATTGGATAAGGGGCTGGAGTGCTTTCCAAAATGATTCACCCCTGAGTGCACAGTTGTACAAGCAGACTGCTAACTAGGTTTTTATTTGACTTGTGAATGGTGTGCTCTTTATAATTAGGATGTAAATTGTAATTAGATATCCGTTATTAGCAATTGCATATCGTACTGTTACAATGAGATTTAAATAAATTATATTAGAAACAAAATGCCACAATAACTTAAGCTCAGTAGCAATTAATTCATAACAATCTGTGTATTTCCAATGGGCAAATTCAGAAGTATTTACTCCACACATGTGGTCGATAATAGCCTTTTTTTATAGGTTTCATCTTTGCTGACGGGGGGATACATCCAACTAATTTGCAAACTGGTGTGGAAATGTGGAGAAATGAACACAAAAGTGGAAAAATGAGAATCTGAGAGTAACCAGAATTGACAGATTTAACCATTAGTTGCACCCAAACCTTCACTGCATGAGGCCTTCACACATGCAGTAAGACTTCCCCTTTCCTCCCTTTCCTTTGTAACCCTGTCACTTTCAAAAGCTACTCCAGGGTGTTGGGGAACACCGTGGAGCAGATTTTGTGGGGCTTCAACTCATGCTAGGGACGCGGGTGGCGCTGTGGGTTAAACCACAGAGCCTAGGCCTTGGCGATCAGAAAGTTGGCGGTTCGAATCCCCGTGATGGGGTTAGCTCCTGTCGCTCGGTCCCTGCTCCTGCCAACCTAGCAGTTCGAAAACATGAAGTGCAAGTAGATAAATAGGTACCGCTCCAGCGGGAAGGTAAATGGTGTTTCCGTGCGCTGCTCTGGTTCACCAGAAGTGGCTTAGTCATGCTGGCCACATGACCCGGAAGCTGTACACCGGCTCCCTCGGCCAATAAAGCGAGATGAGCGCCGCAACCCCAGAGTCGGTCACGACTGGGCCTAATGGTCAAGGGTCCCTTTACCTTTTAACTCATGCAAGGTGCTTCTAGCATTTAGCATCTCCCACTGCAGATCCTAAGCTCTATCCCTCTCCCTCGGCCCTCAAGAGTTGCTTTTGAGGGATGCTGAGAGGCAGGAGAGTTCTCTTTCGAGAGCGTCAAACAGTTCTTCGCATCCAACAGATAGCAAATAATAGTTGTGCTGCTGAATGTTTTGAAACAGATTTCTGATTTCCAGGTAGTAATTGTTTACAACAGTTATTTGAAAGAAGGCAGAGACGAATCCAACAGATAAATATCCCTGCAGTATTTTTTCACAGTCTTTTATCTTTCTTGTCATCTAGCAAAGAGCTCCTGAAGACAAAGAGACTCTTCGGGTTTCCTCAAGAAATGAAGATAATAATCAAAGCACCTCGGAATGCAACTCACAAGATGTAAGTTTAATCCATTCAGAAGTCAAGACTGAATGTGCACTGTGTGCAGACTTTAGAGGAGATGCATATTTATTTGGTTGTAATGATCGGAATATGATATATAGCATTATATTAGGGGGAATAAGGTTGTTTTATATTCAGGTGCTGCAAATGAGATGCCTTTTGATGTAAGAGTCTACTCTCCCTGGTTTTGCTTGAGAGATTAATTAACAGGATTGCAAAGCTTTCAAAAAGGAATGTTAGAAATGTGATTTAATCATCGACTGCTTGTAATCCACCTGGTTTATTCACTTGTGAATTTACCACACCAAATCAGTTTATTTTCCATAGGGAGGCACATTCTGCTTGCATTGTCACTAGGTACTGCTGGAACAAATAGGAAGTCACTGTGAAGTGTAGCAAATCACAGCAAATCTTGACTAGCCTGATGCCTTGTTATTTATGCCTAGTGGCAGGGATTCAAAATGGAGAAGCGGTTCGTGTGTCAGACTAGAGGGTGGAAGTGTGAGAGAGCCACAGGTTCAAATCCCCACACAGCCATGAAGCTCATTGGGTTACCGTGCACCATTCACTATCTTTCAACCAGCATTCCTTACAGGTTTGTTGTGTGGAAATGGCAGAGGGAGAGAGAACTAGATACACTGCCTTGAGCTGCTTGGAAGAAAGAAGGGGTATCAGTGTCATAAATAAATATTGCAAGGGTGTGTTTGGATGTGTGTCACATAGAATGGGTTGGTATGCTTTGTGAAAATAGGGAATTTGTTGTATGAAGTAAGCAGCTGAATTCTGCCCTCACATGGAGATGTGGTTAACGATAATGTGCTGGTGGTAGATAAGTAATTATATAACTGCCCCATTAGAAAGGAAGCCTGTCAGAGATACTTTTTTTGTTAAGAAAAATAAAATAAAATGACCTAAAAAGCATGCTGCAGCATCCGTTCCTCTGGAATGTTCACAATCTGAAATCTGGAATATTTGTACTACCTTGGCATTGGGTGGGCTCTGCTTCCTTTTGACTATCTGTTAGATTGTCTGAAAAGCACTGGAAACACAGAATAGTTAGAAATTCAGAGAAGCACTTGTTAACTATTCAGCAATTAGTGCTATAGAATCATATGAACGGTACTTCTGAGTTGCCTATTTAATCAGCAAAACAATTCTGAAGTGGTGGAAGAATAAAATTGTGCATCACTAAGCAGGTGATGCGTTGGGTGAAGGCAGGGAACTTCATTACTTTGATAAGCTGGGCTGCGTTTCCTGACTTGAACGCAATCAAAACCTTAACTGTTCTCCTCCTGTTCTTTAATCCTCTGCCATTCTCGTCTCATTATAAATAAAGTAACGGAAATTCAGTAACACATTCAAGACTGAATAATAGGATTAGGTTCTGAGTAGTTAGATCTGAAGATAAATTACCACTCAGTAGGAGCAAGTGTGAATTTCTCAGGGCTAGCATTTCTCATTAAGCTTCTGCTTCCAATAATGATCCATAAGAAACTGTACAAAAGAGGTGAAAGAAGCCATATGTAATTAATGAGCCCAAACCATATTAAATGCTGGTACTCTGTTGAAAACGTATGATTCTTTGTCTGATTACACTAGTTGCCAAACAGAAAAATAGTTTTGCACCAGTGTATTTTCTTCCTCTATTGAATTCATTCAAAATCTGAAAGTTGAGCATCTGATTTTGTCAATGTCAGCAAATTTTAAAGTGTATTTCTAAATACCTACCTCCGTTATCTCGCCATTGCCAGTTTCATCTGCTTCCATCTGCTGGAAAGGCAACCTTCTCTACTGATGGAGCCTCCTGATGTGATTTTGAACCTTCATCCTCCAGAGTTATCCATCAGTACTGAATACTCCTCACTGCAGAAGTTCATTTTCTTAACATGAGGAAGGCAATGATGGTTGTAATGGACATACAACTTATGAGAGTTATGACTTGAAATGCTCTTATGACTTGAAATGCCCTGGTTGGTCCTCACCTACCCCCGTTTTTAATAAATATTGGTGGAGATTATCATTGGGACTGTAGTATGTGCACAGTTCCAATGAAAAAAAAATCACAACCTATTGTATTGGCCCAAATATAAGTCACACCCAAATATAAGCTACACCTTTAAAATTCAAGGGGGGGGGGAGAGAGAGAGAAAGACAATACCTGAATATAGGCCCTTACTAACCCCCGGTAACCAGACAAACATGCTGTTATTATGAATTAAATTCATTAAATGATGACACCATTCATGGAAAATAAATTAAAGTAATCACAGTCTAGCATAAATCAATTTGCTGATGCAATATATGCACAGGAATGTGATGCATAACTTTAATCATTGTTAGTACCACCAAGAATCAGAATTGAGCATTTTATAAAACAATTTGCTTTGTTTTCAATTGTTTACATTCATCATCCTCTGTCAGATTTCCAGCTCTTTGCCCTTGGTCATCTTTTCTTAAAAGAAAAAAAAAGTGATAACAGTTTTATTTATTTCCACCATACTTCTGCACTAAACAAATCCTTTTAAAAATCATTAATCATTTGGTGGCAGAGGACGCTGAGCAATGGACCATATCATGTACATATTTCTCAGCAACCATGGCATTTAAGCTTCATAATTTGATCACTCACCTTTGGCTATTTGGCTCAGTACAGTTTATTGAGAGTAGAAAATTGGATGTTGACAAAATCTTATTTGAGATTGACCAACTTTTTGGCCTAAACTTCAGTTGTTCCCTGTTTCCCTTAAAGTGTCAATAAGGACGCACTACTTCATCCCAAGAGAGTTAGCAATATGACTAATGAAGGTGCAGGAGTGCGTTCACAAAGTAGGTGGTTTAGTGGTTCTAACTTCTAAGATACTTCTAACTTCTAATCTTGCTGAATCAACATCCATCTCAGATGTAATACAGAAAATACTTTCAGGCCCGTGCCAATTCCATTCAAGAACTTTACAAATCTTAAAATATTGGGGTTAATCTGTTACTTGGTATGAGTTGGTGCGGGGGGGGGGGGATCAAACCATATCAACATGAACCTTATTGGAGCACACCAGAGTGTTCCTTGCTTTTAAAATGGTCCTCCTTACATCACTTTCACCCCCCAGTTACAACATACACCACTGAACAATCCTTTAGCACTTTGTGCAGGGTGAAGACATGGTTACATTTGAAAATGAATGAAAATTGATGGTCTGGCTAGTGTTTCTTTTTCACATAGACTGGTCAATGAGCAATTTTTGTTGCTGCACATCTTCCATAGGAGTAAGCACTTCTAGGTGGCATGAGAAGAATGTAAATAAGCCCTATTCTGGTTTTTCATTTTTCTTTCAAGTTGGAAAAAATACATTCCCAGCTTCTAATGAGTCTATGGAATCCTTATAATTTAGACCTGCTCCATTTTCATCGACCATAATAAACAAGTTGCATGAGACCAGGCAGGTCTGCAGTGTGCCGTTTTCTTAAGCAGAGTCTTGCTTCATTGATTTAGCTGAATACCTTTGTAGTCCCATTGTTGCCGTTTGCATATCCACTTGCATAACTTAATAGCCAAGAGACCTGCTGAATTTTACTATTTTATTTTTTCCTCCCAAATTCTTTTAATGAAGATGCATACTTGACTGAGCCACTTTCATAATTTATGCTCCCAGCTGGGTACTTCCCTAGCTTTGCTGTATAATTCACTGGCTGAGCTACCTACTGGAACTTGCTGAATTTCTACATACTTTACTGATCAAGCTGCATATTTCATCACTTGAGTTTCCGCATCCAGGTACTTTTTCTGATCAAACAGCATGCTAAACTGATCAAGAAGGAGTAATGTGTTAAGGCAGGAGCCATGCCTCTGATTGTCCTAGGTAGTTTAATATCTCACTTCGCAATTTCCTCACTTCTTTCTCTTTCTAGTGGCTGCATAAAGAGGATGATCATTGCATCATAAGCATACATATTTCATTTGGAAATGCAGAAATAAATAAACTTACTTTTCCTCAACAGTCACTTGGTAGTCATAAACTGTCAACATCATTGCTTTTGCCCATCCAAACCTTTCCTTTTACTGACATTTGATTCAGTAAACAACAACAAAATGTAAGCATGAGTCAAGACAGTGTTGTTCCCCCATATAAAAACTGCAAGTAAGGACCAATCTGACATTTCAATAAAGCATGGCTGATAGAACTTTTCCTTGCCTGCCCACAATCCATGGCATTTACTAACAGGGTTCAGGGAGAAGCAGATGTTACAAAGGGGAAGCAGGAAGCAGAGATACATTTAATGAAATAGATCATTTCTCCACCGCAGCCCCTTCCCCCACAAGGATAAATTCTAATTATTATGTTGTATTTCATAGATACAAAAGAGAGCTTTACAGTGCAGAGTCTACACAGAAATGACTTAAAGGATCATGACATTATAAAGATGCAACACCAATTAGCTCCATTTATCAAGCATCTGTAATCTGGTCTGCTCAGGCTGCCCTTGGCCTTGCAAAGCTCCATATTACAGATATTTTAAAACTTGATTAATTAAAATCTGAGTTTGGGGGAAGTTAGCTATCTGTAAAGTGGCCAGTTTGATAATATGAATTTGTTAATTTGAGGTCCAATTATTTAGTTCTGGTCATATTTCTTCCATAAGTGAAACATCATTGCCAGAACTAGCCTTTTGAAAACCAGTATTGCTGAGAGTACAGAGAAAAAGAATTTTGGTATTTGATCTGCTGCTGGTCCTCTGTAATTTAGAACTCTGATGAATGCTACCTTAATTGCATGTTTTGGTGTTTTATATGGGGATGGAGGGATAGATGGATGGATAGTTTTTAAAAATTCATAGTCTACAAAGGAGTAGATTAGCTGGTTCTTCATTTCAACCAGGGCCATAAAAGAGAGGAAGAAAACAGAGAGAGGAAAACAGAGAGAGGGGGAAAATGGGACTGCTCCTGAACAAAGTCTGCTCATCCTGACTTAGGATTCAGCTATACAGCTGCAAATAAGACGTTT